CCCCCCATGTTACCAGAAGTGTAGTCATCCAGCCACACCCACCCTTTGCTTCCTATTCTGTTTACCCTGTTTGTTGTCAAAACCCAGGGCTTTTCTTGTAGCAGGAACCCCTGACAACACAGCTCATTAGCATATTAGGCCACACCCAACATTACCAGAAGCGTAGTCATCCAACCACACCCACCTTTTGCTTCTTATTCTGTTTACTTTGTTGTCAGAACCCTGGGCCTTTTTTTTGTAGCGGGAACTTCTTTGCATGTTAGGCCACACACCCCTAATGTAGCCAATCCTAATGAGTGTCTGCTGCTAGGTGTGGCCTATTATGCTAATGAGTTCCTGCTGGGCGTGGCCAACTCAGGAGCCAGCCGGAACTCCGTTCCTGTGCGTTCCTGCCCAAAAATAGCCCTGGGGTTGCCAACACTGGCCTGGGAGATTCCTGGAGATCTGGGGGCGGTGCCTGTGGAGGGGGGAGTTGGGGGGATTTTACCTAGATTCTGTGGTTTACCATAGAGTCTGCTCTCTGAAGCTGCGATTTCCTCCAGGAGAAATGATCTCTGTAGTCTAGAGATCAGTTTTAATTCTGGGAGATCTCCAGGTCCGACTCCCACTTGGAGGTTGGGAATCCTAACTTTAGAAAGGATGTGTTTAGGATTGTGCTGTAAATCTGTAAAAGTGGGGGGGGCATCATATTAGTTTTTCAAGACTACCCTAACACTTTTACCTCTGGTTTTAATACATTAACAAATCACTCTGGAATTAATTATTTATCCTTACTTGGTTATACGGTTTTGTGGTTTCCCACCGCTTTACAATGGTTTGAATCCCATCAGGTTTTTTGCTGGTGAAAAAGGGAGAAAGGGGTTCCCCTTGGCCACAAAAGGGCTATACTGAGGATCAGGGGACCTGCCTGGACAAAAGCCATGGGGGCTGTTGTAAGGAGAGGAAAAGGGAGGAGACTGAGTGAAAAGGTTGGCTGGATAGTTGATTTTGAAGGCACTGTTTCAATGTGATATTACTGTAATGTACTTTTTTAAAAAGAATGTACTTATTGGATTTGTACCCTGCTTCTTTTGGTCATAGCGGTCCAGAACACTTGAGAGATATGCAGGGGTCATTTCGTAGAAAAAGAGGAGCAGGAGCTCATTAGCATAACTTATTTGCATATGCCACACCCCCTGACATCACCAGAGGTGTGTCAGAAGGCAACACCCACCGCTCAGGCTCCACTGGACTGTTTTGGATTGCTAGCTATTGGGGGGGGGGGCGTGCAGATCTGTCCTCGCAGAGGAGGGAGAGCTTGTACCTGAATAAAACTTGGTCTTAAAGGTGCCACTGGACTGTTTTGGACAAATATCTTTATATTTCTTCAGTTTTCAGTGAGGGAGTCCCAATTGGACTTACATTGGGTGGCTCAAACATAAAAACGAGTAGGCCGTATGAATGCTGTCAGCTACACTGAAACAATCTGGATACAGGCCTGCCTCAGGAGGAGACAGTACCATTTGCCCCCGAATCTTTCCCAACCTGTCTTTTTTTTCCTTTCAAATTTAAACAGTTAACTTTGTGACAGGAAGATCTATGTCCAATTTTCTCAAGGCAACATGCTCTCCAGAAGGAATTACATAAATATTTATGAAAACGAAGTAGGAAATATTTTCCCAGGGCTGCTTTCTCGGCAGCATTAAAAAAAAAAAAAATCCAGTCATGAACGTTAGCATTTATTTTAAACCAGAAGGTACCGACTGGTCTTCCCTGTTGGCTGCCTTCTGCCACAGGGGCAGGCTGTGTTTTAACAAAGGCCACCGTAAGATATTTACAGTTCATATCACCATTTGAGGCTGGAAAGCCATCTCCTTCCCCTAAGCCTGGATGGGGGCCTGGATATGTCCCACAACCAGTGTTCCCTCTGAGCTGAGTTAGTGTGAGCTGGCTCACAGTTTTTTAGCCTCTGTCTCACACATTTTTGTTTTAGCTCAGGAAGGATGGCTCCAGAAAACACTAATTTATGCAGTAGTCAAATTGCTCGCTCACAACTTTAATGCCAGCAGCTCACAAAGTAGAATTTTTGCTCACAGGACTCCACAGCTTAGAGGGAACACTGCGGCCACAACTACAACTGATTTCCAGACAATAGAGAACAATTCCCCGGGAGCAAATGGCTGCTTTGGAGGGAGGAGTCTATGGCATTATACCCTGCTGAAGTCCCTCCTCTTCCCAAACCCCACTTCCCAAACTCCACCCCCAAAATCTCCAGGTATTTCCCAATCCAAAACTGGCAGCCTTAGTAGTAACAAGCTGTTGGGTTCTGGTTACTTTTATACAACCCCTCAGGGCCATAGCTAAAGCCTTCCTAGTGGGGGGGCCCTGGGGAAAGTCGGGGGACTGGAAAGTCGGGGGACCGGAGTGGGTGTGTGTGCGCGCCAAGCACACGTGCGCTGCACACACGTCACCCGGAAGTGCCGTGATGCCCTCCCCCCTTCTCTCTCTCTCTCCAAGCTCCCCCACCTCCTTTGCGGCTGCTTCGCTCTGATGCCTCCCCCCCCCCCCCCGCACCGCACCTCCACACGCACTCTACACTGTAC